AAAAAAAAAAAAAAAAAATGATGCGCTACAGCCAACCGGGGGTGAACCGGCCTGGTCGACCGGCCGGTAGGACCAGTCCGGTTCCGGTTGGGGGAGGGCCCCTCGGTCCTACCAGGTTTGCAGCACTGCTTTTCGGCGAATTTTCAGAGGATGGTGAAGATAATTTTCTCCCCTGGATATGGCCAGCGAATGCTGTTGGGCGTAACTTTGATTAACTTTTGATTTCATTTTCAGATGCTTTTTTTTTTGTTCCTTCTTTTTTTTGTTTTGTTTTTTTTTTGTGCAGTGGAATGGTGCAATCGACGGTGTATGTTGGCTGGATCGAAAATGGCAGCGGCAATGTCCAAGAGTATTGGATTGATGGCCGAACTCCATCAAACATCCACCCCATTAACGAGGGTCTGGTTGCAAAGAAGGTCAGCGTGGACGACAACTTCTTCACAATGGAGTTCGAGCGAAAGCTGCGCCTCCCGAAATCCAGGAACACAATTGATACTCAGTTCCCTGTGAAAATGATTTGGGCGATCGGCGATGGCTGGACATCAGGTACGTGGACCACATACCTTTTCTTTCCCTCCCAAAAAAAAAAAAAGAATAAAAAAAGGAGTCCCCTTTTGGTCCTGGGCTCCGTTCTGTGGCTGGGGAGCAGTGGTCTGGTACAGATTTTGCTCGAACCGCGGACAATGTTTTATTCCTACATGTCCCATCTGGGCCCAAAAAAGGTCCGAAGGTCCCATCCAGGATGAAAGGTTTCCAACTGGGGCAAGAAACATTCCTTCTGTCTGCGGCAAGAAAGGCTCCATCTGGGGCAAGAAGGGTTCAACCTGGGCCAAGAAGGGTTCAATCTGGGCCATAAAAGCTCCTCCCCCAACTGGGACGTCCGTTAAAATTGGAACGATACAGAGAAGATTAGCATGGCCCCTGCGCAAGGATGACACGCATAAATCGAGAAATGGTCCAATTTTTTGATGGATTAGAAAAAAAAAAAAAAAAAAAAGCGTTGCATCTGGAGCAAAAAAGGTCCCATTCCAACTGGGGCAAGAAACATTCCATCTGTCTGGGGCAAGAAAGGTTCCATCTGGGGCAAAAAGGGTTCAATCTAGGCCACAAAAGTCTCATCTGGGCCATAAAAGCTCCTTCCCCAACTAGGGCAAAACGCGTTGCATCTGGAGCATAAAAGGTCCCATGTGGTGCATAAAAGGTCCCATCTGGTGCAAAAAAGGTTCCATCTGGAGTAAAGGAGGTCCTTCCCGGGCAAAAAAATGGTACCATCTGCGGCCAAAAAGGTGCTATCTGTGCAGAAAAGGCTCCACCTGGGGCAAAGGAGCGCCCGTCTGGGCCCAAAGGAGATGCATCTGGGGCAAAAAGGGTTCCATCCAGGGCATCTGGGGCCGGAATGGTCCCATCAATCTGGGGCCAAAAATGTCCCATCAATCTGGGGCCAAAAAGGTCTTTTCAAACTGGGCCAAAAAGGTCCCATCTGGTTGAAACTTGAGATGGGTTTCATCCGGGGCAAAAAAGGTCCCATCTGAAGCCAAAAAAAAAAAGGGTTCCATCTTGGCCAGAAAAAAAAGGTCTCATCTGAGGTGCACGAAGTTCTTCTCTGTGGCACAAAAGGGTCTCATCTGCACGGGCTACCTTCTTCCCCCAAATACAACGTATATATGATCATTATAGCTGTATCTAGACTGAAAGATGCCTCAAATACAGCTATAATGACCATATACATTGTATTCGGGGGAAGAAGGTAGGACATACTCACCTGTCATTGATAACGAAGAGGAAGAGATCAACAGCGAGGATCTCTCAGGGCGCACTCACACTAGCTCTATCGTAAATGTATCTGACAACATTTACGGCCCGACCTGGATGTATCTGACTGCATTTACATCCGGAAACAAGTTAAGAAGTTGTAGTGTGAAATTGTGAATATATGTCCTTATTATTATTACTACGTTTTTTTATTGTTTTAAGTGGGATCTCGCCCTGATGCGCTGACGTATTTCATGTTTCCATGTACTCTTTCTCACACTTGGCACCCCCCGCTCTCCCCCCCCCCCCCCCCCCCCCCCCCCAAACGCGGCGACGTCCAAGTCATTGAAGTCGTTCCCATATTTGTAATATTTTGTGTTAATAACTTAATAAAGTTAATATTAAAACAATGTTGCATGTTTTTTCCTAAAGAAGAAGAAGAAGAAAACACCTGGGAAAAAAAATAAAAAAATCATGCGGATCTCTGCACAGTTGCAAAAGAAACACGTGGGGCTAGGTCCCACGGGCAAAGAGGATTGGATTAAGTGCATGAATCTGGACGTGTTTTACGCAGAGATGCGGAAAATCAGATTAATTGCAGTTTTCTGTACCTCTTCACAAAGTCATCCAAATTCGGGCATTAAACTGCCATTACACGGCCATGCATCAGCGGCGGGGGCCCCTCACCACGACTTTGGGAGGCCGGAAACGCGACAAAGGCCATTGACGAAAATTATCAACGGCGGCCCAGCCCGGCCCGGCCCCGCCCTGCCCCGAACTTTTCGTGAGTAGGTGACGAGTTCTTTTGCCGCAAAGCTGGGGCCGTGTACTACCGTCTTCACCCAAATAGAATGCCCGGTCATTATAGCCGTATTTGGCACAACTTTCAGTCCAGATGCAACGATAATCACCGGGCCTTTTTTGCAGGTGAACACGGTAGCGGTTCAAGGCCAAGATTCTTTGCTGGTGGGACCCCGCCGCCGATGTGGTCATCCAATTGGTCAATCCGATTTGAATATTACTAGGCAAGCTGAGGGGGTTGGGCGTCTCGGCACGCCGCTACCATCTTCAGCCCAATTCGAAAGCCCAGTGCTTATCGCTGCATCTGGACTGAAAATTGCCCCAAATGCAGCCAGCTGCAGTGACCGCGTGCAGCGTATGGCCTATTTCAGATGAAGACGGTAGGGCAGTTGTGAAAGGTGGTGGTGGTTTAAGAATTGGGCCAGAGTGCACCCATGTCTTGTGTGTGAGAGTATTCCCTCTTCGTTCTCTTTTTTTAAAGGTTTTTTTTTATGTTCTAAGAATCTAATTTTAATAATTCACTGGTAGATTATTTGGTCTTGACTCTTGGTTCTTTTCTGATCATGGACTCGTGAAAATTTGTGGACGAATCACTGAACTTTCTACCTGCAATCATTAGCGCTGATCTTTTATGTTTTTTTTTTTTTTTTTCCGAGTACAAATCAGGAGAACTGACTCAGGAGTGCCAGCACAAGGAGATGAGCAGCAGCGTCACCCTAGTCGACTTGCAAATGGGATTCTCGAAGCCCGAACAACTACAGCCTGTTTTTGCGGTAAGCTATGTAACCCTTTACGTAAACGCTCTTGCTAGCAGGCACTGGCTCCTATTCCCTCCCCCCCCCGCTCTATTCCCTCCCCTCCCCCACCACCCCCTTTCAACCACATTTTCTGTACTTTTGTCGTTGCCATGTTTCCACGGCAAATATGTGTCGGGCTCTCTATGGCTTTCTCATTTGACAAATTTGTCAGACTGAAATGATCCCACTCCATTTGCCTTCACTTGCAAAGATTTGCAACCATGCAAAACTCGAAAGGTCACACCACTCTCGAACAGGAAAGCAACGAGGCAAATATGAGCTCAAACTCGAAGATATCATAACAAAATACACAATTGTTGCACGTAACCGAACTCAAGCACACGCAGCTATGGCTGCAACTTGCTCCGACTCAGTTATGTACTCTCTCTCTCTGTTGCTCTCTCCCTCTCGCTCCCCTCCTTCCTCTCTCTCTCTTCCGCTCTCTCTCTGCCTATCTCTCTCTCTCACCTCCTTCCACTCTCTCTCTCCCTCTCCGTCCCCCCTTCCTCTCTCTCTCT